CGAATCCGACCCGACCCGAACAGAACTTTAATAAAAACCTTTTATTACTAAATATCTCTTCCACTTTTAATTGTATACTTCAAAACTTGTATACAAGTGACTTTGAATCATAGAATGTATCAAATACTATTATTAAAATTTTGAATGGAAATAAGTATATTTTGATAGTTTCACTCATGAAAAGAACAAAGTAAAAGAGTTTTTGTTATTTTTGATTACTAATTGTATTGTTCCAGTTCTAAAATGCTTAATACAAGTACAGAGAATCAGAACTTAAAAATTAGAACTTAAACAAAATGTTATATATCCTCTTGATTATATATTTTTCTTTATTTTATAACATTACTTTCTTTTCTATCTTTACTTTCACACAACTCTTCCATACTTTTATTATTCTTCACTATAACAATTTCAAAAAAATTGGTATAGAACTTAGATATTCTTTTTTTTAATATTATCTTTCATCTCTTGGTTTAATTCCCTCTCCCAACTCTTGTTTAAGTTTTTAAGATAATCACCAATTAGTAAACAAACTTGTAACACTACTCTCTCAACCTTTGTAAGCTAATTTCATAATTAGTAATCAAATGTATAATAATATGCTACTTTTTACAACAAATCACATAATGTTCTTTATGGCGTTACTTAATGTCTTGAGTATGTAACAAATTACAAATACCTTTAATCTAATGTCTCTTATCGCATCTAAACAATTACACAATGTATTTTGGACATTAGTTGCTTTAGTTTACAACTTTGAAGTTAGGGATTAATGATTTGATTCTTGTGACTATGAGGTTTTATTTAATGCTTACTATAAAAGGCAAATATAAACTTAAATACATGTACATATTTGAATTAGTATAACAATAATATAACCGAAATCATAACTTTAATCTGTAAATTGAAGGTACATATACGCGATACGTACGTATTTTGCTAAACGTTGCATGATCATCTACAGAAAATTCGATAACTACGTATATTTGTGTACCCAAATTTGCCATAATCGGAATGTTTTGAATAATACACCAACTGCGTACAATAAACGATTATAAAAGTACGGGCTAATTCTTTTTAATGCAATCATTGAAAAAAATGGAAATATATGGTCTTGTCTTCATACCATCTACAAACAATGAATCAAGAAGTATTGACACGCCAGTGCCACTGCAAAATGTCCAAGTTGAAGCGAATGGTAATTAATTACCGACGAATTTATTTTTTAAAATTGCTTTTTATTTTCTAATTCTAATTTCTATGCAGTGGTTGATATGATTGCTGAAGGTATATCTAATTGACGAATCGATAAATAGCAACCTTATATTTAAATATAACGATAATATTATTTGGGTACTTAGTTAAGATTTCACAGACGTATAAAAATATCGAAAAGAATTCGATCGATGCTAGCTACAAATTTCCAATTCACGAAGCGGCAGCTGTTTGTGCCTTTGAAGCCGAACTTGACGATGGACGAATTATCAAAGGAATCGTAAAAGAATCAACTAAGGCAGCTAAAGAATACAAAGAAGCGGTCTCGGTAAATATCTTAGTTCTGTTATCGAAATAAACTAATTTCATTGCAATATTGATGAATCAAATTATTAAATAAGCGAGGATATGGAGCGTATCTTCTCGAGGAAAAACTCCCTGATGTCTTCCAATGCTCCCTCGGTAACATCTCTCCCAACCAGACAATAATCATCAGAATTACCTACGTCACAGAATTGAAACACGATTCAGAATCA